TTTTTTTTTTTTTTTTTTTTTTTTTTTTGTTAATACAGTCAGTTCTTAGTAAACCTGACCTGAACCTTTCACTCGCACCAACATTTTATAATTGAGAATCGAAGTTCGTTTGGGCAGGGAGTGTGGCTTTAGAGGAATAGTAGGATTTTTAGAGGGGTGGAGAGATTTTTGGAGGAGGTGGTTCCATATTGAATTTTTTGTTATTATCGATTTGGTTGTATTCTTTTGGATTGGACTCCTTTCTGGTAGGCTACAGACTCCTTTTGTAGGCTTATTATTTTCTTTTTTGTATGTCCTTGTACAATTGTCCATTTCTCTCCATTAAAGCTTGTTTTTTTTATCTTAGAAAAACAATAGTAGTAATGAGAATAGGAGTCTATTTTCGTTTTAGAGAGAAATCCAGAAGTTATCGCTTTGATGACTGACATAGAAAGAATCTGTGGAAGCAATAAATCTCGTGCTAACAAAGACAATATGGAAAAGAAATTATTCTAAAAAGGTGAAGTTTTTCTTTGGGAAATAGTGCATAAAGTCATTAACACGAGTGAAAATCTACAAAAAAGGAAAAAAAGAAAAAAAAAACGCCCTACATGACTATTTTCAAATGGGTCATTATGCAAGAAAAAGAAAAAGAATCACAAAGCCACACTCAGAATTTCTGGACAAAGCTTGGGAGTGTCAGTCTTGGAGCCAGCAGTATAGTGTGTACCTTTTGAACATAGCTTGTCTGAGATGGAACGAATGGAGGATCCTACCTTGGACTCTATCCATCATGTTGAGACTATCCAGAACACACGTCCTAATAGAAATTTTGCTTTCTCTTGGATACTTGGTCTTCCATATGGCTTTGGTCAAGCTTTTATTAATAGTTTTTTTGTCAGGGTTTTATTAATAGCAGTAGACCTAGAGTTTGGTTGGTTGGTTGAAGAAAGAGATCCTAGAATGTTGACCTTAGCTGTCCAGAAGTCATTGCATATTATCCTGACCCAACTTTTGGCCAGAATTATCTGAAATGTTAACTATGAATGTGCTCCTTTTCTGCTTTAGCTAATGATCCAACGCAAAATCTGGCCACCCGTCACCTTTTTTCCATAGAAAAGCATAAAGGACTAGTACTACGGCTAACAGTTTCAATTTGAGTGCGCTTTGGAACCCTGCAAGAGAGCTAGTCTTCAAGAGAAATAGTTTATGATCTGAATTATTCCTCACTTTCCTTGAGAGCCTCACGTTCTGAAATGTTAAGAACCAACCTTCCTATTTCTAAGATTTGTGAAAAGTTATACCCAATTTATCTATGTGTCTTATTCTAATACCTTGTCTTGCGTAATATTCTGATCTCTAATTAATAATATCTGTGTTTATATTCCATATGTAAAAAATTAGATTATACATGTTGCAGCAATTTATTTGATTGATTTTTGTGAGCCAAGAGAGATCTACAATATGGTTTATTATGAAATTTTCATTTTTAATATAATTCTTAATGATGGGGACTAATTATTTCTATTTTGATATTTGTTGACACAGGTCAGTGCCTCTTATGAGCAGGCTTTGTTGGATGCTCGTAAACTTATTGAGCGTGAAATGGAAAGATTTAAGATTTGTGAAAAGGAGACGAAAACCAAAGCCTTCTCAAAAGAAGGTTTGGGTCAACAGCCTAAAACTGTATGTCCTTAAACTCTGTTCAATTTCTCTTTGAGCTTATCAATTGACAGCTTGCTAAACATGTTTATAAAAAAATTTCCTCCATGCTTAGATATGTTCCAGGTGCTTGTCCCATTAATTGTTTGCAATTATCTTCTGGAGATTTGGTTTGAAAAAAATAGGATTTTTTTTTTTTGAAAATATGTTCCTGATTGGCTGGATCATTTTGGATTCATCAAGATCTCAGCTTCTCGTTGTTGTTTTTTTATCTTTAGTTTGTGTTGGCTATTTTCTTAATGATATTTGTATTATTTGGGTTTTCATTTGAGTTTTTTTAGGGGCAATCATCAGCTTTCCATGGTTTATATATATATATATATATATATACACACATGTATGTATGTATTTTGTATGTATATATTGCTTTTAATCTTTCTCAATCTATACTTATAGTCTTTGAATTTTTGTATTCCTTACCTTTTAAATCTGTGACACACGAGTAAAGGAGAGATACATGAATGAACTGAGAACACAATTGAACGAGAGTGATTTTGAGGATAGGATGCTTGAGAAAAGCTCAAAAGTATTGAAGTTATTACCTATACCAACAAGGTGCACTTTACTTTCCTTTTCGTAGCTCAATCATAAAACTTCAAGTTAAGCATGCTTTGTTTGGAGCAATCTTATGTTGGGTGACCTCCTGGAAATTGAAGCATGAGAGTGAGGACAAAACATGTTGAAAAGACTCGTATTGGTTTGTGGGGATAGTAGTCTTCACATTTCAAAGTGACAAGTAGGTAGCGTGATCATGTCATAGGGAATGCATGGCAATGTTGAGATAATGAGGTGTCGAATCCAAATTCCAAATCTTGGGCATGAGGCGTTACACAATCATTAATGAAAAGTTTTGTTTATTGTTCAAAACAAATGTCTATCTACTGTTTTTGCTATCCAAAAGATGGTTGTTCTTAGTCAGGTGATCACACTGTAAGGTTCCTGTCCATTATTTTTTCAAGAAAATTCATGGATACACTTGCGTACAACTCAAAACTGAAACAGTCATATGCATTTTCTGAACTATTTTGGGTTTTTGTTTAGGATCAAACCAGTAATTTCTTCTTTACTTGGTATAAAGAGCCAAAATTTCAACGGGAGTGGACGGGAAATGCAGAAATACATTTGCAAATAGAAATAGGCTAATATAAAATGTGTTCTATTTCTAAGGGGCCTTCCAAAGTCTATTGGTGACCCAGTTGCAATATTCTAGAATGAGGTTATGTCTCCCTAACAAAGGTTTCTTTTTAACGGGTGTTGTCATTATTTTCATTAAAGGATAAGGGGATGTGTTCATGATGCCAAATTTTCTATTTTCATTAATGAAAAGACCTAGGAAAAGAATCCAAGCTTCAAGGAGGTTTACGTTAAGGTGATTCACTCTTACATTTTATTTTCCTATTGGTTGGTGGTGTGCTGAGTAGCATGTTAGATCATATTTACCGAAAGGATCTTTTAAGGTTTTGTGGGCAATGATTGAGTTCATATTTCTCACCTGCGATTTGCTGATACCTGATGATACTTAGTTGTTTTTTAAATATTATGATGTTTGTTGAATTCTTGATTGATACAATTGGAGCATTTGAATGGCTTTCAAACTGGAAAGTTAATTGGGACAAATCAATGGTTTGTGGTATTAGTATCGATCTTTCTACACTTGATTATATGGCAGCAAGACTTAATGTTAAAGTGGAGTCATTACCAGTTTCTTATTCGAGAATGCCGGGGGGAGGTAATCTGAGATTTTCACAATTCTAGTCTCCTATTGTTGAAAAGGTTTCAAAGAAATTGGTTAAATGGAAAAGATTCCAGCTTTTTTGTGGTGGAAGTTTGACATTATGCAACTCGGTTTCTTCCAACATTCCTATATGTTATTTTTAATTTTTCCAAT